CGAGCCCCGGGTAATTAAGCCACAGGCAGCCCCCCAAGCCGAGCCCCGCCTGCCGGTGACTGCTCCTGCCACTGGAGAGCCAGGCCCCTCCCGTGTGCTGTCCCCAGGCTGGGGGGGGCTGGTTTTCCACAGGGCTCATCCTTGTCTCCGAGCCCCCCAATTGGAAATTAAAACATGGAGGGATTCCTGGAGATAAAGCTGCCCCACGGAGCCCTCGGCTCCCTCCGCTGCAGCACAGAGGGGCCAAGTAGGGCTCTTTCCAGTCGTGCCGAGTGGGGAGGCAGCCAGGGTGTGGCCAGGCCCAGGCTGTGCTGAGGCAGGCGGCAGTCGTGGTCTCGCCCGGCAGAGGGCTGGCCCAGTGCCTGCTGGTTCCACGGGGTGCAAGTGGCTCCAGCCATCGCAGGCCGCTGAGCTGTGACTGAATAGCCGTGCCCAGCGGGTAGGGTGCCGCCCGGCCTGGAGGGCGCATCCCGCAGGCCCCAAGCTCTGACTGGGACGGGGTGGGAGCGTAGGGAGTAGTGCCCGGCCCTGACTTGCCCTCTCCCGATGTCCCTGCTGGGCTGGGTCCGGTTTCTCCCCTTGGCAGCTCTTGTGGGGGAGAGATTTCCCCCTCCTCCGGCATCCCATCCCAGCTCGATTAGAGCCAGCCTGACCCCGAGCGTCCCCTAGGAGCCCTCTCTCCGTCTCTGGGGCTGAGGCGCCGTCTCCGCTCTCCCCTGCAGGCCCACGTTCCAGTACTTCACCTGGCACACCTGCGTGCTGGGCATCCTGGGCTGCGGCATCATGATGTTCCTCATCAGCCCCATCTACGCCTCGGCCAGCGTGGCCTTCATGCTGCTGCTGCTGCTGGCCCTGCACTACCTGTCACCGAGCAGCAGCTGGGGCTACATCAGCCAGGCCCTCATCTTCCACCAGGTAGGCGTCTGTGCCACCCTGCCCGCAGGTGAGCGAGTCCTGCCCCTTCCCAGGTGCTTCCCTCCCTGTCCTGGTGGTAGGCTCTCATTCAGCGTCAGCACTGAAAACGCCCGCTCGATCTTATCAGACTCCTTCTCGGGAGCAGCGCCTCAGGCGCCGATTGGCAGCTCGCAAGGTTCCTCCAGCGGCACGACTGGGGCCAAGGGGGAATTCGTTACGTATCTCAGAAGCAGGAAGCCTGCTCCACAAGGGGCCGCTGGCCGGTCGAGAGGCTGAAGGAGCCCTCGGGGACAGTACGACCGTGGCAGAGAACCGGAGTGGACTCTTTGTATCAGTCTTCACGGCTGAGGTCCTGACAGAGATTCCCAAACCTGAGCCATTCTTTGTAGGGGACAAATCTGGGGAACGACCCGAGAGTGAGGTGTCATTAGAGGAGGTTTTGGATCAAATCGATAAACTAAACCGTCATAAGTCGCTAGGGCCAGATGGCATCCGCCCAAGAGTGCTAAAATGGCAGAACAACTAGCTGTGGTTTGTAATGTGTCCCTTAAATCAACGTCTGTACCAAATGACTGGAGACTAGCTAATGTGATGCCAGTTTTTAAAAAAGGGCTTAGAGGTGATCCTGGCAATTCCACGCCAGTAAGTCTGACTTCAGTACCAGGCAAACTGCTTGGAACGAGAGTAAAGAACAGAATTGTCAGACACGTGGATGAACATAATTTGTCGGGGAAGACTCAGCATGGTTTTTATAAGGGGAAATCATGCCTCACCAGTCTATTAGTTCTTTGAGGGGGATCAACAAGTATGTGGACAAGGGGAACCCAGTGGATCTAGGGTGCTAAGCTCTCCAGAAAGCCTTTGAGAAGGTCCCTCTCCAAAGGCTCTGAAGCAAACTAAATTGTCATCGTCTGGGGCGACATGAAGGGTTACGTGCCCCCCAATGCCACTGAGGGAGGTTGTCACGGCTCACACTTGGCCCCTCGGCTCCTGGGTGGAACCCCCCTCTCCAGTGTGGAAGCCACTTCTTGGAGTCCACTCCAGTGCAGCGACCCTTTCTTGGGGTGCCCGCTCTCACCTGGGGCATCCGCCCCTCCGACTCCGGGACGGTGCCTCTCAGAGCCGTCAGCCACCTGACTCCGCCGTGAGCCCCTTCGAGGGGTCCACTCTCTCTGGACCCCCAGGGCCTCCACTCCCAGAAGGAATAGCACCCCCCTGTTCTCTAGACCAGAGAAACTATCAGCCAGCCCAAAACAGAAGGGTTTATTGAGCTTTGAACACAGCAACAGATTAGTCAGGCCTGGGCCCTGGGCCCCCAGCCCACCCGTCAGCCAGCTCAGTCCTGCCAGCTCTGCCCTCAGTCCCCCAAAACAGCCAACAGTCTCCCAGCAGAGCCTCCAGTATCCCCAGCAACAGCCCCTCCCCCGTCCATTGTCTTCTCCCCAGGTAAGAGGGTCACCTGGCCCCTCTCTTCTCTGCCTCTTCTCCTCCGTCCCATGTTCTCCCCTCGCTGGGGCCACCTGGGCTGGTTGCCGGGGTCCCTCTCTGCCGCCCATTGTCTGTCATCCGGCCAGAACTGGCTGTGTCCTCCAAGCAGGGTCGGGGTCACCAGGGTCCCAGACACCCCGGCTCCAACTCTGGGCTGTTCCCTGACACAACAAACTCCCCCGCTTTGTCACGTCAAACCGGTAACTGCTGGGCACTTATGCAACACCCCCCTTTGACCCCTAAAACTCCCCACTTCCTCACAGAGGGGCAATGGGCCTGCAGCCAGTGGGCACAGCCGTCCAGTTCATAGGACTGTTCTTCCAACCCTCCCAGCTCCCACGCTTTGGGGGCCCCCATGGGGCCCAGGGCAGTCCAGGAGACATGCAGGGGCTGGGGCTGGCAGCCGGTGGTGGACAGTGAGCAACCCAGCTGGGAGCCGGGGAAGCAGAGCAGACTGGGGCTGGGTTGCTCCACTTCTCCCCCCGCTGCCGCCAGCAAGTGCAGGGGGTCCCAAACCCTGCTGCTGGCACCAGGCGCCCCACTAGTCCCCTTGGCCACGTTACTCGGGGGAAGGGACTTGGGGGCAGGGGTGGAGCAGGTGTGGGAAGAGGCAGGGAGGTGGTGGAGCAGGGGTGGGAGCTTGGAGGAAGGAGTGGAGTGGGGGCAGGACGAGGCGGAGCCTTCCCCCAGATGAGGGGTGGCACAGGGCAGAGTCATGTGGGAGGGCGGTCATGTGGCCAGTGTCTCTCTTGTGTCCCTCCCTAGCAGTCACCACTGGTCATGGGATAAGGGGGAAAGTCCTTTTATGGGTTGGTAACTGGTTAAAAGATAGAAAACAAAGTGTAGGGATAAATAGTTTTCAGAGTGGAGAGAGGAAACTCCTGGTGTCTCCCAGGGGTCTGTCCTGGGACCCATCCTGTTCAACATATTCATAAATGATCTGGAGACGGGTAAACAGTGGGGGGATGGGGAAATTTGCAGATGATACAAAATTGCTCAAGATCGTTAAGACCCAAGCAAATTGCGAAGAGCTTTGAAAGGATCTCACGAAACTAGGGGACTGGGTAACATTAATGGCAGATGAAATGTAATGTTGATAAAGGCAAAGTAATGCATATTGGGAAAACATAATCCCAACTATGCATTCAAAGCTGATGGGGACTAAATTAGCTGTTACCATTCAAGAGCGAGATCTTGGCGTCATTGTGGATAGTTCTCTGAAAACATCCACTCAGTGTGCAGCGGCAGTGGAAAAAAAGCAAATAGACTGTTGAGAATCATTAAGAAAGCGATAGATAATAGGACAGAAAATATCCTTGCCTCTGTATAAATCCATGGTACGCCCACACCTTGAATACTGCGTGCAGATGTGGTTGTCCCATCTCAAAAAAGATATATTGGAACTGGGGAAGGTTCAGACAAGGGCAACAAAAATGATTAGGGGTTTGGAACAGCTTCCATATGAGAAAAGATTAGTAAGACTTTTCAGCTTCGAAAAAAGTCAACTATGGGAGGAGATGATAGAGGTTTATAAGATCATGGCCAATGAGAAATAAATAAGAAACTGTTATTTACTCCTTCTCATAACTCAAAAACTAATTACCGTAACATTGCAAGTATAATGCGCACCTATGTATAATGCGCACCCTGACTTTGGAATCTTAGCGTAATGAAAAAATCTGAACTATGTATAATGCGCCCTGGGGTTTGAAGCCATCGAGCTTAGCAGCCCCACAACCTCTGCCAACAAGTGGCTGTCCCGCAGCCAGGAGCCGACCCGCCAGCACCAGACCCAGCCTTGGCTGCTTCCTGGAGCCGGCTCCGGGCTGCAGGAGAGCGGGAGGGAGGAATGCACTGATGCAACCTGCAGGCTCACCTGGGAAACACGCACGCAGCCCAGAAAGCTGGCGGTGGAGTTTGAAACCTGCTCCCTGCCCACATGGATAGCTGCCTGCGCGCTGACCCGAGCTCGCACCTGCCGTGGGGACCTCTGAGTGCAGCCTGACGGAGCACCGGGCAGGCAGTGAGCCAGGGTGCTGCAGGTCTGGCGGGGAGGCGACCACCGCGCCGTGCTGCAGCGGGAAAATTTCTGGGCACAGCCTGAAGGAGCACTGGGCAGGCAGCGAGCCAGGGCACTGCCAAAATAAAACTTTAAAAAATAACACCTATGTATAATGCGCACCCCGACTTTGACCCCAAAAAGTTGGAAAAAAAGTGCGCATGATACTTGTGAGTTTATGGTAATGAAATAATAGCTAGCAAGTTTTAATTTAAACAAACACAAGGAAATATTTCTTCACACAACACAGTCAACCTGTGGAACTCCTTGCCAGAGGATGTTGTGAAAGCCAAAGTCTATAAAAGGGTTAAAAAAAGAGCATGATACATTCATAGCGGTTAGGTCATCAATGGCTATTAGCCAGGACGGGCAGGGATGGTGGCCCTAGTCTCTGTTTGTCAGACGCTGGGAATGGGTGACGGGGAGCGATCCCTGTTCTGTTCATTCCCTCTGGGGCACCTGGTGCTGGCCACTGCTGGCAGACAGGTCACTGGGCTAGATGGACCTTTGGTCTGACCCCGTCTGGCTGTTCTTACGTTCTGTGAGGCTACTCCAGAATCACACCCTGCAGGGGCCAGCAGCTGCTTCCAGCGGCACAGGCAGAGCGGTGGGAGCCGCCCCCAGAGGTGGGTCCCAATCTCACACTACTGCACAGGCCAGGGCGGGTCTCTCCTCATGGCACTGGTGTGAGATCAGCCAGGTTCCCGGTCTTGGGGCCAAGCTCAGCAGAGCTGCCACGGGTTGGGGAGCTGGCTGGGCGGAGTGTGCGAGGCTCAGGAAGGGCTATTCATGCGGCTGCCTGAAATCCAGCTTTGTGCCATGGGGGTTCCCAGGGCAAATGGGCCGCGCAGCCCGGCTGGGCTCTGGAGCCCAAACCCCGACGCTCCCCCAACCCTGAAGATTTTCTTTCTCGTCCGCTCCTCCCCTCAGAGATCTTGGCCTGGCCTCAGGGAGCATGTGCGTGAGGAAAACCACCGGTGCGGCGTGTACCGAGGAGTGACCTTTCTCCTGCCGGGACGTGACCCCAAATAGAGAGGCCCTGGCGCTGGGGTAGTGCCCACGCTGAGCATGGCACTGCCCGCAGGCAGGAAGAAAGAGCAGCCCCCGCCGCGTGGATGTGGCTGGGGGGGGGGGGGGGGGCTGGCTGCCCAGCTAGCACCCCCCCACCGCAGGGGCTGCACCCGGAGCAGTGGGAGGGCACCATTGGTACATGGGGTGTCTGTGCCCTGACTGCCTGCTCTGCCTTGCCCTGCGCCAGGTCCGGAAGTACCTGCTGATGCTGGACGTCCGGAAGGAGCACGTCAAGTTCTGGCGCCCCCAGATGCTGCTGGTGGTGCAGAACCCCCGGTCCTGCCTCCAGCTGATCAGCTTCGTCAACGACCTAAAAAAGAGCGGCCTGTACGTGCTGGGCCACGTGGAGCTGGCGCAGTTAGGTGAGCAGGGCCTGGGGCCGGGAACCGCGGGCGCCATCGCAGCGAGAGCAGGGCCTGGGGCCGGGAACCGCGGGCGCCATCGCAGTGAGAGCAGGGCCTGGGGCCGGGAACCGCGGGCGCCATCGCAGCGAGAGCAGGGCCTGGGGCCGGGAACCGCGGGCGCCATCGCAGTGAGAGCAGGGCCTGGGGCCGGGAACCGCGGGCGCCATCGCAGCGAGAGCAGGGCCTGGGGCCGGGAACCGCGGGCGCCATCGCAGTGAGAGCAGGGCCTGGGGCCGGGAACCGCGGGCGCCATCGCAGCGAGAGCAGGGCCTGGGGCCGGGAACCGCGGGCGCCATCGCAGTGAGAGCAGGGCCTGGGGCCGGGAACCGCGGGCGCCATCGCAGCGAGAGCAGGGCCTGGGGCCGGGAACCGCGGGCGCCATCGCAGTGAGAGCAGGGCCTGGGGCCGGGAACCGCGGGCGCCATCGCAGCGAGAGCAGGGCCTGGGGCCGGGAACCGCGGGCGCCATCGCAGTGAGAGCAGGGCCTGGGGCCGGGAACCGCGGGCGCCATCGCAGCGAGAGCAGGGCCTGGGGCCGGGAACCGCGGGCGCCATCGCAGTGAGAGCAGGGCCTGGGGCCGGGAACCGCGGGCGCCATCGCAGCGAGAGCAGGGCCTGGGGCCGGGAACCGCGGGCGCCATCGCAGTGAGAGCAGGGCCTGGGGCCGGGAACCGCGGGCGCCATCGCAGCGAGAGCAGGGCCTGGGGCCGGGAACCGCGGGCGCCATCGCAGTGAGAGCAGGGCCTGGGGCCGGGAACCGCGGGCGCCATCGCAGCGAGAGCAGGGCCTGGGGCCGGGAACCGCGGGCGCCATCGCAGTGAGAGCAGGGCCTGGGGCCGGGAACCGCGGGCGCCATCGCAGCGAGAGCAGGGCCTGGGGCCGGGAACCGCGGGCGCCATCGCAGTGAGAGCAGGGCCTGGGGCCGGGAACCGCGGGCGCCATCGCAGCGAGAGCAGGGCCTGGGGCCGGGAACCGCGGGCGCCATCGCAGTGAGAGCAGGGCCTGGGGCCGGGAACCGCGGGCGCCATCGCAGCGAGAGCAGGGCCTGGGGCCGGGAACCGCGGGCGCCATCGCAGTGAGAGCAGGGCCTGGGGCCGGGAACCGCGGGCGCCATCGCAGCGAGAGCAGGGCCTGGGGCCGGGAACCGCGGGCGCCATCGCAGTGAGAGCAGGGCCTGGGGCCGGGAACCGCGGGCGCCATCGCAGCGAGAGCAGGGCGGGTGTGGGGCACAGGGCGGGCAGGCGGGGGAGAGGGCTGTTTTCACTGCCTGCCCCATCTCCCCCAGACTCCCTGCCCTCCGACCCCCTGCAGACGCAGGCTGACTCCTGGCTCCTGCTGGTCGACAGGCTGAACATCAAAGCCTTTGTGAACCTCACGCTGGCCGACTCGGTGAGACACGGCGTCCAGCAGCTGCTCTTCATCTCCGGGCTGGGTGAGTCGCCGCGGGCAGCGCCCAGTGCACGCTGGGTGTGCCGTGGGAAGGGGCCAGTCGCAGGGTTACTGCCTGCCAGGTCCTCTGCAAGGGCAGTGTAGGCTCCCAGCAGCTGCGGGGCAGGGCCCAGCACATCCCTCGGCCTCCTGCTGCATTGGGGGGGCCCTCTGTGAGCGCCAGGCCTAGATAGTGGCAGCTGATGGTGACAGAGCTGTGGCAGGACATGGCTTTGCTCCCCCCGGGAGACCAGCTACTGCTCCCTTCCCCCCCGGGAGAACTGGAGCTAGTGACCCAGCCTTGCTGAAGGAATGGGCTGGTGTCACAGCGCCACAGGATCGGTCCCATGTCCCCAGCTTTGGACCAGTCTCTGGGAGGCCCCTGCTGGGTGCCACATAGGGGAAACTGAGGCACAAATCAGCTTCATAGCGATGTTAGCGGAACTCCCCACGTCCTCGGGCCTGGCGCCGGCGTTCAGTAGTCCCTGGCAAACTGCTGGCGCTGCAAACTGCCCCTGCTGGCACCGCATCCACTAGGCAG